ATAATTGCTTCTGTGGTACATTTTAAAGGGAGACATATTATGATTGTATGAGAGATGTCATTTATAACTGAATGCCTGGTCTAACGGGTGCCTTTCATTTTGTGTTTCCTTTTTTATGTTTCATTGTTTCTTTCTGCACAGTGTGTGTACCTCCTGCACTCTGTGTGAGCCATGTAGCTTCTCACATGATCCAAGCCACAACCTTGTGAGAGCCAGAACTCCCCTGTCTATTCCTGAGCACGGCTCCCCAGCACCAGATCACAGCAGGTGGGCATTTGTCCTCTGCTTTGGGTTGTCTTGGTGTTAAAGTTCAGAATAGTTAAACATATTTTGCTCTCTCTCTGAAGGTTCTACAGAAGGGGTGACCGGAGCTTTCGTAAGGCCGAGAAACAGCGTCTTAAAGCTGAGAAGCGCCAGCTCAAGGCGGAGGTGAAGGAGATCAGGAAGCAACTGAGAATGGAGAGGAGGGGGCTGCAGTGGAGCACTGCTGGAGAAGGGAGCTCTTCACCCGTCCTGCTGCAGCCACGTGCCACACAGGCAAATAGCCCAGAGTAAGAGCTTACACCCCTTTACCACCTGAGGAAGAGCATATTAAAGTGATAGTCCCCCCAAAATTTAAACTTCTGCCATTTACTCAACTTCATGTTGTTCCAAACTTGTATGATGTTATTTTTTTAAGAGTCATTATTGCCATGAACAAAGACCTGACCTTTTTGGCAGCTTTTCCCATTTCACATCATGTTAGTCCTATATTTAAATTTCAACTGCATAATAGGGGTGTGCAATATATTGTCTACAATAATATCTTAATTGTTGTTTAAACGATATGCGATTTGACATTGTCGAGTATATCGCAAAAACACACCCAGAGAGTGCACGCATACACTGAGATGTAGGTCAGACTAATGCGTAAGCACATTTTTGAGTTAACGCTTTCACTGTGTGGTTTAGTCTATTAAAATACACTTAGAATTCCCTTGAAATTCAAGAGAAGGGGGCAAATATGCACCCGTATGACTTTTATATGTCTTTTATATTTATATCATCTGATATAGTTAATATCACACAGAGAACAGTTTTTTTTCTCCAAATATCAGTACGATTGCAAATGTGATATTGATTTTATAAAACAGTCCAATAAACAAGAAGGTAATATTAATTGACTTACATTTTAGACAGTTCCTGTTTTTGCTGTATTTCATTAACGAAAATAGTTTCAAACAAAGCCACAGCAGAACTGTTTTGTGTCTCTGAGCAACACACAAGGGTGTTTCGTTACTGAATCAATCAGCTGTTTGAACTAATCGGTTGAATGAATGACTCAATGACTCACTCATGAAGTGATTTGCCACCTACTGGCGATTTTAGGTTTATATTTAAAGTATATTTTCCCCTTCCCCCCTAAAAATAATTTCAAATATCACTATTGAACGTTTTGTTTTTAAAGGTGACATATCATGAAAATCTGACTTTTTCAGGTTTTAAGTGCTATAATCAGGTCCCCGGTGCATCTACCAACCAAGGAAACGTGAAAAAGATTAACCCGGTAACTTTGTTTTGGTAAGCCTTTTTCTGCAAGCGTCTAAAAAAACAGAGCGCGTCTGATTTCGCTCCCTTGATGACGTGGCAAAGGGTTTTCTGCAAGCGTCTGAGAAAACGAGCGCGTCTGATTTCGCTCCCTTGGTGACGTGGCAAAGGGATATCATTATAATATTACTGCCCCTTAATCTGTAAGTTTCCACCCATAGAGCCGTCATTTGATTTCGCAAGTTCGCTCCCTTGGTGACGTGGCAAAGGGATATCATTATAATATTACCGCCCCTTAATCTGTAAGTTTCCACCCATAGAGCCGTCATTTGATTTCGCAAGCGACAACAATGTACCAGCTCTAATGCCATGGCGATAGTTTGAGCAAAACATGCTAACTGTTCTGCCTTTCGCTGTACAGACGAGCACAGATCACTGTTTAGAGTCCCAGCCTCAGAGGAGACGAGAGAGCAGTGCATTTATTGGTTTATTTACTGTATATTGCTGCTGCCACACAGATCTAAAATAAACATGTGATTTATTTCCCAGCTGTTTACCTTCAGACATAACCAACTGTTTTTGTAACTCATGTGTTTTTAACGTAAACTTGTGTGAAAGAGAACTTAGTTTAGTACTCACATGCTGTGACAGCCGCTTTCTGTACGTGTGCACTCAGAAAACCGTACAAGTTTAAACTAATATTGTTTAAAACGTATGATTTCAGCGCGATAAACATGATAATCAGAACCAAAACAGATGTTTTTAGCAGGTACAAGCTGTAATGGCACAGCTCTATTCTGGAAAAGGGGGCGGAGAACAGCGGCCGGGGAGCAGCAGCTCATTTGCATTTAAAGAGACAGGCACGAAAAACAGTGTGTTTCTGCTTCCACTCAAAATAGGCATTTTCGAAATGATATAATAAATTATCTGTGGGGTATTTTGAGCTGAAACTTCACAGACACATTCTGGGGACACCAGAGAGTTATATTACATATTGTAAAAGGGGGCATAATATGTCTCCTTTAAAATATAAAAACATTATTTATGCATTTGTAACTGCAGGGTTACTGCATTCATGTACTGCATTAAACAGTCTGTGTAAATGCATCTAAATGCCACTTCAGATGCAGATTCTGTGCCAGCACTGCATTGCAAACACAAATTTTGTTGGTACTGATTTCATTTGATTGGTAACAGCCCTATAGTGTCTTACTATTTAAAGTTTTAAGAATTTAAGAATTTGACAAAAGATGATGCATACATTTAATTAGGTTAGAAAAAAATTGGCCTTAGAAAGGTAAAAATGCCCATTAAAGGTAAAAAAATAATTTAAACTTATTAGAAAAGTGCATTTCTGTTACTCCTGCAAACTAATCACCACACAGAATATGAAGAATATCAAAAGCTTTGGGAGTCATCTGTCCATGCCAGTCCTAAACCTGTCAAAATACCAGCACAATAGCATGCTCAGCAAAATATCGTCTAATTATCGTTATTGACAAAATTCCAGAAAATATTGAGATATCATTTTATGTCATTATAACACACCCCTGCTGCATAAGATGGGTTTCTGGCGTTTTAGAATAATACTATCTATTCTACTTCCTTATTACTCCATTATGACTGGCTGAGCCATGTTAAAGTGTAATTTAGGGGCCCATGTGTTAATGTAGTCATTTACCTGGCTGACACCAGAAAGACTTTATTTTATTTGTACTGATAATTAATTACATTTAATCATTTATTAATATATAGTATAATAATTACAATCAAATGTTATATTGTTATCTAAAATGTCTGTTAAAAAGTTTTTTTTGGAAAGAAATTAATAATGACACATTAAATCAAAAGAGTCTGTAAAGAAATTTACAATGTTACAAAAAATATTATGTCAGTCCCACAAAGGAAAAAAAAAACACCCCAAAGTATTAATTGGCTGAACTGATCACAACAGTTTAAAATGAAATTAGTGATAATAAGATGCCATTTAATTTACACTATCTTGGTTGCAGTCGTCCTAAACGTCCATGCCCACTTGCTGTGCCAGCTATGACAGCTCTACTTTTGGATGAAAACCTGCCTGATGGATCACGTCTGCGTCCTGGGACCAAGTTCATCAAATACTGGAAAATGAAGAACAGTGGCAGAGTGTGCTGGGACTCTGAGACCAAGGTACACTTTGACTCTTAAACAGACACACAAATCTGTATACACACAATAAAAAATCGGAACCTGATTGTGTCACATTTCGTACTCAGTTAAAGTTCATGTGGGGGAACTTGGCAGTGGGCTCCGGTGAAAGATGGCGGGAGGTCGCAGTACCCACACTACAGCCAGGTCAGGTGGGTGTCATCAGCGTGGCACTTTGTGCTCCGACGTTAGAGGGCACCTATACGTCCCATTGGCGCCTGGCACACAGAGGAGAGCAGTTTGGACCACGTATCTGGTGCAGCATCGTTGTGGATCCACATGCTCCTACAGCAATCTGTGCTGACAGGCTACTGGTGTCTCCCTGTGTCACCCCGCAGGTAAGACAACGGTCCAGAGACAGCCTCAACCAACCCAGAAATCTTCTTTATATGTGCAGATGTTCTAATATACATAGGAATATATAAAATGGTCAAATCAGTGTTATTATCATAAGAAGAAATTAAATTGAATCTAAATGTAAAAATGTTGTTAACTGAAAAAAAACACACAAAAAAACAGCAAAACTGGAGGAACACAGAAACTGTACTTAAATACATTTACATGACTCCAAAACTAAACTAAAATAAAAACACAAATTAATTTTTGTTTGCTTTTGATGGGTATGTTATACCACAACTTACAACATTTTTTACAACCATTACAGCCCACCTGCAGTAAACATGAAAAATGCTGGTAAACTTTTTTAAATGAAACCAGTTTAACTTTCGCAGCCCTGAAATTACTAAAGCTAAAAATAAAAACTAAATAAACTGAAACTAGAAAACTATATAATGGAAACTAAACTAAATTGAAAAGACAAATTGAAAATAAAAATAGTAATAGTTACCCTGGGTCATATACATTTTTAAAAAAACTTATTTTCCCCCTGGGGCCCAAATATAATATATTTTAGGTTTTTGGCCAGTATAGAGCTATTGTTAGTTTAGTTTTGTCATTTTTTTCTGTAGCCATTTTCACCCTGTCTGGCACTTTCAGGAGAAGTCTTCCCGCACTCTTGAGAGGGAGGAGAAATGCCGGGCCACAAGGGAACAACTACTTTTGTCAGTAAACCAGGACTGTGATCAGGAATTCTACATTCCATCTGTAGACTTACTCACAGCTCAGGTATGACCAAACAACAATCAGCATGATTCACAAAACCCATCTTGTTTGATGAAGAAAGTTTGTCTCCATTGTCAATTCCACACTCTTTATTATGTTTTTTACTTAGGACTTACTGTCTTTTGAACTGCTGGACATCAACATTGTGCAAGAGTTGGAGAGTGTGCCTAACAACACTCCTGCAGGTAACTTCAAATCTGGAATAAGTCTGTAAGGTGTTTCTAAAAATTTGAATGAACAACCTTTATGGATTATGCATATTAATTTTAAACAGTAACGCTTAAAAAAATGTATAGATTTCTACCTTTTCTAATATTCTCTCTCTCTTCATCTCTGTAAATATATGAAGACATTACTCCATGCATATCACCTCTGCCCCATGAGGGACCTCTACAGGAGAAACCAACACTGGGACTCATCCAAGAGGAAACAGAAGCCCAAGGGGTCAGCAGCATCCTGGGTAAACATTCTACACTTTTCTCTGTGTGTTGCTGTTAGTGATTGTGTAGCTTGTTATATTTGTGAACCTTCTCTGATGTCATACTCACAGATGTGGCCCAGGGGACAGAGTTAGAGTGCATCCCAGCACAAGAGAAAGGAGAGGAGAGCATCACTGGGCCTCAGTTTGTCAGTCCATCTGTTATCCGCTCTCTCACCCTGGAAGTGACCCGTGAAATAGCAGAGCATAGGGCGCTTTGTGGGAGATGCCCAGCTAAAGGTTTGTGATGGCAGCTGTGGGAAGATGCACCTTTCTGCTTTTCCTGGAAATTACAGTAATTTTTTTAAGTAGGTAGCACATCAGTCAATTTCAAAGCTTCTCACTTGACCATGTGTAATCAGACTGTGAATAATGTAGAATAACTGTAACACTTTCATTTTAGTGTTGACTTGACAAGTACTTTCAATGTCCCTAGTAAGCATTTTGTAGTAAAACTGTACACTACTGTTTAAAAAGTTTGGCCAGTAAGATTTTGAAAAAAATGCATGAACAAATGGCGCTTCAACTTGCCAACAGGGGAGGAGCCATATAGCAGTTGGCTCAGAGCGCTATTCGTCAGAATTTTTCTCCTTCAGCAAAGAAAATCATCTCCTTGCTGGAAGAAAGAAGCCAAAGCAAGGAGCTCAGCCTGCTGCTCGCCGTAGAAGAGCCCCTGCAGAGGAAGATCGCCTAGCAAGCCTTCCCCTGCGGCCATCTGGCG